CACCTTTAGAAAAGGAATTGCATACAACGGAAACATCACCTTTAGAAAAGGAATTGCATAAAAACGAAACATCACCTTTAGAAAAGGAATCTAAGAATGATAGCCAAGCACATTCCTCAACCGGAAACAAATTCAATGCACTGAAGTATTTTACCACTCCAGAACCCAAGGAAGATGGCGAAAAATTGGAAACCAAATCAGTGGCATATAGCGAAAAGCATGAAAGCTCACTATACGAGGATGACAAAAATAGCACATCATCCAGTTCAATTGATGCTGTGAGAGAAGACTATATGAAATATAACAAATACAGTATCCCCAAAGAAACCGTAAAAGAAAGAGAAAATGCATCAGACTCAGGACGTCAGTACCAGACGCACGTTCTCAGTGAACAGAAGAGTATAGGAGTACACGATCATGAAGATGGAAATGCATACTGCTATAATCAAGAAGGAATGGAAGAAGGGCATGATGAAGATGGAAGTGCATACTGTCATAATCAACAAGGCATGGAAGAAGGGGATGATGAAGATGGAAATACATACTGCTCCAATCAAAAAGGCATGGAAGAAGCGGATGATGAAGATGGAAATACATACTGCTCTAATCAAAAAGGCATGGAACAAGAAAGGCACAATTCGCATGAAGATGGTATGCCAATTATTGATGCAAATGGTGAAAATTTGGAACATGAGCAAGGGAAAAAATTGCGACGAAGAGAACCACACGATGCGAATAATGTGGACAAGGAAAAACTTGTACTTACAGATTACAAGGAATGGCTTGATCAAAAGGAATATGCTATAGTACGCGTAGTACAAAATTTGTGGTGTAAGATCTTTAATTCCAATTTTATGATTCGACGTAGATATAAAGATCATGTTAAAGATAAAGGAATGCCCACAAATCAGGGATGGAACAGTTGGATGAAGAAATTGAATAATGAATGGTCAAGCTACAATGTCTACATACACAACGAAAGAACTAAATGGTTCCAACAAAAGGAAATAGAGTTCCTTCAATTTATACAAAACTTCCAACTTAAATGGATGCATTACAACAAAGAATTGCTACAAGATTACTCTTTCGATTTTTATAAAAAATCACTAAAATGGAAAGATTCCAAATGGATTCAATGGATTGAAAAGGATGGAGAATCTATCATGATGATGGATATAGATATATGGATAGACCAAATTAGAGCAGAATACAATTTATGGCAACTGAAAGCTTGGGAACAATGGAAAAATAACAAAATTCTTGATTGGTTATTGAGTGAAGAGAAATGTGATCAATATCAGTATTGGCTAAAATGGGAATACTCGAATAAAAAACCATCACTTAGAAACGAAAAACTCGACTGGTACAAATGGAAGAAGATTAGACAAAGTGAAGCTAAAGACTGGCAAAAATGGGTCCGGGAAAAAGAACAGGCATTAATAGAAGTTAAGAACCTAATATGGCAAAATTGGAAAGAGGAAAAAAAAAAGGTATTTTTCTCAATGCTCAACCACTTTATTAAAAATTGGATAGCCAACAAGCAATGGAAAGTATGGATACTCGACTTGAAAAGCACACAAGCAAAATAATGACGTGGTTAGCGGAAACGGATTCATTTGAACCCAACTGAATCAAAGCAAATGAAGACAAATCTACGTGATCATTTTTACCTCTGGACTATGTCCTTGACATAACTGCGCACATTAAAACTGCCAAGACGACTACGAAATTAGTGAAGGCCAAAAAAATATATATATTCAAAAAGACAGGGTAGAAGAAAAATTCTTTATTATATCAAATTTGTGTACTTACAGAGCAAGTATGTCCTTTCCTTTTTTTTTTTTTTTTTGCATAGGAGGAGCACAACTTTTACTACATAGAACACAATATTTTTGATATCTAGTAGTAGGGGGAAAAAAAAATCAGTTGTCGATGGGTAAAATTGCAATAATCAGGATCCTCAATACACAGAAATTTTTATTAAAAAAGGAAGTACCTTCTCATAATCCATATAAAGAATTATCTCCAATTATGAGCAAAACGTTCCCCGAAAAATCATATGAAGAAAAAAGTTACGTCTATTTTACACATCTTTCCGTGAGGATAAGAAGAATTTGCTAGAGGACAACACTTAATATTTTTTCATAAAGAATCCCCATTATTTTCAAAAAAAATTGAATTGTTCTTAATAACAATTCATGTTTTTTTTTATATTTTTGTTGTAAAAAGTATATATATACTAAAAAACCTTTATTGTTTAGGATTGTTCTTAATTAGTTATATTCACGTTAGTTCTTACTATCTATACATATATTATATATATACAGTTATTTGTTTTTATTCATTTGTTCTTTCTTTTGTTGTATTTGTTTTCTTTAATTAATTTATATAGTTGCATTTATTCATTTATTATTCATTTACATAATTAGCTGTATGGTAATATTTACACTACATATACTGCTTATTTGAATATCAGTTATTACTGTTTCTACAATTATTTGTGTGCTCAGTAATAATGTTTCAGTATGCGTTTTACAATAATTTTTGTCAAAAGAATGAATACTGTTCACACCTTAACACGATTATTATCTTATGTTTTTTACCGTGCGCATAAGAATAGATAATTTTCAAACTTTATAAGAACCATTTTAAACATTAAATAATAAATGATGTGTTAAAGTCTTCGCATTGGGGCAGCCTGCTTTAGGGGCTCAATATTAAGGATTAAATGTTATCTGATAAAAAAATTCTAATTCCAAATGCTATATAATTAACCATGAATATTCAATTTTCTACTAATTATATCTTTAAGGGGCAGCAGGTTCTGTCTCGCCCAACACTCTCATCCCAGCCACTTGCTATAATTCATGGACACATATGTAACCTATAAATTACTGTTCCATTACCAATTTAAATACATTTTTACTTATTATTCTGCTGCTCCAATTTTGTTGTTATATATTTATATATTCCCCCCAATTCTTTAGTTGTCTCTTCTCTCATTTTTGAAACTTTTACATTTTCTAATCCTTTTGCCATGAAGTTTTTATTGTAAGAAAATGATAATTTCATTTTTACAATTTTTTATTGTCTTATAGTAAAATATTTTTTCTTTCATTTTATTTAAAAAGGGGGAAACAAAAAGAAAAAAAAAGAACATTCTGTTTGTATAAGTCCTGCCAATTCTGACCCCCTCATTACACATTCCTTTGTACATTAGGAACAACTTTTATTACCAATATTTCACGTATAGATGCGTTATTTTTTATGTTAATAGGAAATAGGAGACTTCCATATACAATCAATTCTAATGTGCCGAGCGAAATGAGTCTTGACTATATTAGGGGAAAAAGGGAGAAGTAAATAAGGATGTAGACATCATCCACTTTATTTTGCCCTACTTTGTTCTATTTAACCCTATTTTACTACACTTATATTGTGTTCTACCCTACTCTGTTCTATTTTATTTGTCTCCAATTTCTTCTTTTTTTTTTTTTTTCTCTCTTGAATAACGAATAGCTTCTACCTAACATTTATCGCTAATTCAAAGTCTCTCAGTTGTGGTTATTTAAAGTACATCGCTTCTACGATATCAGTAGCTTGTCAGTTGTTATAAAAAAACAAAAATTTTAAAAGACCAAACTGAGTAATATAATTTTGAGGCTTATTATAAAAAGTGGACATCCTTCTTCGTCCATGTCCTTTGAGATAATTAAATTAAATAAACAACTGGTTAATTAAGGCTATGTGCCGACCGAACGTTTTCTCATCTGAGTGTAGTTTACACATGCATAGACACAAACGTATGTACGTACCAGAAACCTGCTCATTGGCCTCGTTTATCATCAGAAACGTTCCTCTTTTATATGTTTCATTTTAAATACGACTCTAATCGTAATGGAAGTACGACACACAATGATGTAACATGTTGTTTGTTATTTATTCTTTTCATTGTTTGCCATCTTGCATAGTCCATGAAGAAGGCAATGTACACAGATGTAACTCCATCTATGCCACCACTTTGAGTAAGAACAGAACTATAATAATAACGACCCTTATGGAACGCTCGTACACTTTAATTAAGTAATTTCTTGTGCTCAAAAAAATGCCCATTTTTTATTATTTTGCGCTCGTGCAATTATACCATTGAAGCAGTGGAAGGAGACAATTTAATCGATAATTTGTTCCCTTAAAAAATTCATCCGTAACACATTCCTGCTACCTGATAGGGCGCGATTAAGTTCTCATGTTTGTAACTTTACTCTTCCCAACTGCGACATCATTTCAGCAATTTATACTTTAGCAAAAAAGAATAATTCTACCAGATGAGGAAAAATAAATAAAACGTACATATAATAAGCGATTATCACAATGCCCGGATTCTAACTAAATTCTGAGTGAACAAATATATATATATGTGGACACATTTTTGCGATCATTTATTTAAAGGGGCTTGAAGGAGCTTACGCTATGCTTTTTTATAAATGTAATCAACCCTCAATGAATGTGGGCACAGCACGCCGGTTAATTATTACCAACAATTTGCTTTTAAACGCAAAGTGAACCCAAAGGAATTGCTAATCGAAATGTAAACTTTACAAAAAAAAAAAGTTAGATCTTTTCTTATAAATAAACATGGGCCTGCTCAAATAAAACAAGTTACAATTTTTTCATGTACCGCTCACAATATTTTTTTTTTTTTTTTTTTT